AAGAACTAGTTGTGTCCTCTGCTCTTTGAGAGCACAGATTGGAAGCAGGCTGGCAGGGCCTCCTCCTGCTCCTGTCTTGACCCATCTACGAGAGAGAGCGTTACAGTTTGGTTCTGATCAAGTGCTTTATAAATGCCCAGCACAGGTGAAATTGCATACGGATTCTTAAAACCACTGCGCCCACGTGTCCATACATTTGCTTTCTTCGTTTCAAGCGGATGAACAATAGTTAAGATTGGATTTAGTAAGGCTATGTTCCTCCCCCACTTTCTCCTTTGCATCGGAAGTGAACTGAGAAAGACACACACGCAACACACACACACGCGCCCGCAAACACACACATGCGCTGGAAAACCAAGACCCACGCGAGGAAGAGTTGTTTATACCTGACTGGTGATGAGGTCTGAGCTATCTTAGTCAAAGAAATGCTTTATGTGCATAATATACAGAGGTGCAGCATTTACACACAGGATTTTGTAAAGACACTGAGCTTGCTACAGATGCCTTAAAAGTCCTTAAAGGTGTATTCCCCCAACCCACCCGCCCCCTTCGGATTCTAGTTGCTTTGTTTCACATTGTATCTTTAAGGACTTTAAGTCTGACTAAGTATTCATGATCCAAATGGAGCCATCCTCTAAATTTCAAAGAGTTCCTTTCCTCCCGGTTGTCTCCCCCTCTTGCTTCAGATGAAAAGTTTCACATCATTCCCCCCTCCCCACCCAAAAAAAAACAAAAAAACCAACGTGTCCAGTTTTTACTCTCCTGCTGGCGGTTTCAGATTTTCAATACACCCCCAGAGCTGCTGACCCCAGCCAGGAGAAGAGGTTCAAACGGCTTTTTGCAGCCGCAAAGCCCCGAACCCAAACGGTCCACGTTTTCACACCCGTGATCTCAAATGGAGGGTTGGGTTTTTCCTTTGGTTTCTTATTGAAGGCAAAGGTGAGAGCACGGCTTACAGTGTGAATGGGACAGGAAAGACCTTTGACATTCACAACTGGGGGCGTGGGGGGGGGGGGAAATCACACAAATTCCGCGCCCCCTTTCTGGTCCCTGTGGCATGGAGCCTTTTGGTGAGGAGGAAACACTCCTCCTAATTAGGGTTGAAGTGCAAGAGGAAATCTTGAGATGGAAGTTGATCCTTTTTATTTTATTTTTTTGATGGGGTGGGACAAGAGATTGGGGAGATCTCAATGCTGTTCCCCACCCCTGCTGCTCCCACCTAACCAAAAAAAAAAAAAAAAATCAAAAAAAACAAAGATGGTTGATTTTTATTTTACTAATACTTATAATCTGATACGACAAAGGTCCGTTGTCCGGACAGAAGTCACGTAAGCGCTGGGAACGCCCTGGGAAATAAAGCTTACTTGTTCCCCTTCGGAGCCGTGTTTCTGTTCTTAGTGCTATTTGACTATCTTCCGATCTCAGCGGCTGGGATCTGCAGATCTGGGACCGACCACCCACTCTCCCTCCTTGTAGGACAAGGGGGAGAAAACAAAATCCAGAGAAGCCTCTAATCTGCTGTGACTCGGGAATCAAAACAAAAGTGACGATGGTATCATCATCCTCAGGTTATTTTTGAATTCATGGAAGTGCCCATCGAGAATAAAGCCAATTCCTAGCTTCCCAGGACTGCCCTGGTCAAGGACGTTACATTCAGTGTTTGTCAGCAGTTATATGGCTCAGTTGAACTGCCTGTCTGGCAGCGTGTCTAACAATGGCAGTGCAAATACATCTTTTGAGTTGAAATGCATTTGTGCTGTTTTTTTTTTTTTTTTTTTTAAACGCAACTTCCCTTTGTTCATTCATTCCCTAGAAACGGAAACTTTCAACATTAAAATATAATCCCCCAGACACTCATCTCTCGCCCCTCCCACCCCCACCCCCCGCTGCTCTCTATCCCGTGGGTCACTAAAGAGAAACCAGACTCTCAGGTTTTAACAAAAGTGCTTGAAGCAAGTGCTGTGAAGCGAGGGCATGGAGAGAAACTTCCTTTTCTGGGAGGGGCGGGGGCAATCCCACACCTGTTGAGTTTTTAAAAATGACGTGGCACTGGTGGGAGCTGAAAAGGTTCACTCTACGCCAAATCTATGCACACAGCCTAACAGAACGATAAGCAGGAATGGTCTGACTTTGGCATAAAGGTCTGTGTAGAGGAAGTTTTAGATAAGGCCCCCCCCCACCGCCACACACAAAACACTTAACGTTCTTATGCCGATGCAAATGAGGTGTCAAGAGACACAAAGTTGGGGGATTTGGGGGGGGCGGGGGACGAGCGGAAGTTTCCCTCCGACCCTCTTTACAATGCACTAGGGAAACCATCACAAATCTCGTTTAGCAAAATAATGCATTATTACCAAACACTTTGATTATTACTTAAATTGTCAAGCTGTGCTGTCAAATGTATACATTACAGCGTTAAAGGAGAACAAGACTGGCGCCTGCGGTAGAAACGGCCAATTTCCCCCCTTTCCCCAAACCCACCCTTCCACCCCCCTCACCCCCCCTCCCAAAGCCCAAACCACGGATGCACTGCTGGAATGGTTTTCCGCTCCGGTATCATTATTATTATTTTTTTTAAAAAGACAAGGAGAGGAGTAAAAATAATCCCCAAAAACGTACTAAGAGCAAATTAAATTAAATTAAAAAGTACGATGCAGCGGAGAGAAGAAATGCTGAAGCCCTTAGAGAGATCACATTGATTGTCTTGTCAGAGTTTAGTCTTTACCATGTCAAGTGAAGAGGTAACGCGTTACAGCATGAAAACAAGGCAAACCAAAGGCCAATTTTTTCCTCTTAAAAAAAAAAAAAATGCAACGCCATTAAAAAAAAAAAAAAAAAAAGCCACGCTCCAAACACTATGCTAAGATATTCCCTTGCCCTGAAGAGGGGAAAATGGCTGCCCTTGTTTGAAATGATTTTGAAATCCTCCCCCAGTGATATTTAATTAAAATTAAAGCAAGATGGCATTAAAATTATCTCAGCGCTGCACGTACGTGCGTCTTGCCCTCTGCTGTACATGCGCATACGAGGGTGAAACCCGAGCCTTGGAGTCAACAGGAACTTGGCCATTTACTTCAACAGGGCAAGGATTTCAACTCAAAACTACTGAGCCCTAAATGTGCCAGGTCTCTGTGACTCACCCCAGCAATTCTGTCACTGTTCCTTCAAACCCCCAGGAAAAGGACAAAGATAAGGGAAGCCAGGGCTTTCAGACCTGCACAGCTTTCTCAGTGTAGTGCTCTCGTACGCTTCTGAATGCTCAGGCCCTCTGTTGCACAGCAAGAGAAGGACATTTGTGGGGGGGGGGGGGGAGGAGGAGGGACAAACCTTGACTTTGGACCCATATTCCTGCCCCGTTACAGGGGCTTATTTGAAGGCTGAGAAATAGGCAGTGCCTGAATTCAGTATTTTAAAAATGGAAAGGGAAAGCGTTGCAAGAGGGAAGTACCCGAACTCAACAATACTGTAAACAAGTCGTTTTTTTTTTTTCCAGTTCTCCCTCTGCAGAATACTGAAAACGATCTTCCAAGAGGATCTTTCATTCAAGTTTTGTGTGGTTTGATGCCGAACTGAGGTATTCGGTGTAGAAAGGTAACACTTGCTATCAAGGTAGAGAACTTTAGTGCTGAGGGTGGAGGCGAGGAGAGAATTGATCTTGCTGCAACGTACCTAAGAACTGAGCCTTTTGGAACACGTTTCAGAAGGGGACGGAAGGACTGGTTCAAACAGGCCACGAGGCTACTTGGCCAAGAACATCTTATACAGTGGCCTAAAACCCAAGTTGTTTATGCCTCACAGAATGGGCCAGCATCCAGCGGGTGGAGAGAAATCCTCACTCTGCTTTTGTGCATTGGATTCCTAGACTACCAGAGACACCAGCAAGGAAGGTTTTATTGACGTGCATTGAGGGAAACAGGCTGGCTCTCTGCCTTTTCTTCCTTCCCTATCTGGGGATTTTAGGCCCTCTCTGAAGACTAGAACTGGCTATTTTCTACACACGGAGCGTTCCCTCGGCAGTCCATGTTTCAAGGGTTTTGCTGAGCTGGAGTGTCAGATGGTAACGCTAAGGGAGACCAAGCTCAGCTGGTGCAGTGAGGATAAAGAAGACGACTTTCAAGAGGAAAAACAAACAGAAATGCCACCCAAGTCTTTGCTACTCTCCGGGTGAAACCCTTCCGTGAAATGAAAAGAAGATGCGCTGACCACCCAAAGGCCAAGACTGTAACTTCACATTTGGTTCGAAGAGTTAAACTTTGGTAAAAGAAGCTAACAGTGCGAGAGGAGCTGCTCGCTATTCCAGACTCTACTCCTGCCCGGATAAAGCACCTCTCTCGCCGGCTGCCAGCGTGCTAGCTACGGCCAGCGGGAAATCCCGTCTCTCCGCTCCCTAGTTGGCGCTCTTTTGGAAAGGGGGCGGTCTGTCATTGCCTGCGGGAAACAGCAATTCGTTGCAATGCCCATTTCACGTAACGTAAATGTCTGGCCAAAAAAAACAAAAAGAAAACCAGAATTTCACCTTCATTTACAAATACTCTATTTTGATCCCAAAAAAGGCTGATTTTTGTAATAGATGTAACTTAGGCAGGACAGCCAAAACTTATGGCTCGCCCATTTCCTGTAACAGTCTTACTGACCAAGAAGAGAAAGTGACTAGCGCCGATGCTCTGCTGAATGAAAAGGAGAGAGATCCCTTCCTGGACGTCCCCCCAGCCCCAACCCAAGCCTTGGTTCTCAAAATATTTCTTTTGGCGCGCGCACACGTCACTGACTATAGTCTGAGAACCAGGAGGTTAGCCCACCCCCAAGGCTGCAAAAGGAAAGAGAATCAGTGGAAAAGATCGTACATCCAATGTTTTTGCCCTGTCGACCCGCTCTGATCGCTACATCCCAGTCTTTGGCTTCAAACAGACTTGCGATATGGTGAAAGGTTTTTCATGGGTTTTTTTTTTTTTTTTTCCACATGTTCTTTTAAAATAAATAAAAAAAAAAGTAGTGCACATTCTTGAATGTTTCAAACATGCATTATAAATAGGATTTTTAAAATTAAAAAAAAAACCAACAACACTTAAATGAAAACACCAATCCCACATACACACACGCTAATAAAACCTGCCAAGATGCCACGTTAGAAAAATAAATACAGACTTAGGGTTGTGAATAAGGACTTTGAAGTGCATTTTTTTCCTTAAAAGGTTAAAACTTTTTTTTTTTTTTTTTTTTTTTTTTAAGGTAAAAGCTCATTTCGTTATAAATAAATTTTTAAAAAGCAACACTGACGAACTCTCACATGGGAATGGCCGCGCAATACGGAGAGGAACAAAACTTAAGAAGGAATCGCCTCTCAGGATCCAACATTTTGCCAAAAGAAGAGAAAAATTAGAATCCCTAAAGTGCCTGGTGTGGGGAGGGAATATTCCAGCAGTGCAAACGTGGGGTTCGGAGCAGACCGCGGCGGATGGACAGTAGCACCCGTTTTTGCATATGAAGGAGTGAGAGCTGCCAGAGGTTATCTCAATGTCCTGGGTACAGTAGTTCGGGATTCAAGTGTTCTTATTGGAATCAAAGGATGAGCATGAAAACAAAACGATTCAGATGAAGGAGCAGTTACAGTGGCACTTGCCCAGGTGCTAACACCCACCACTCAGCAGTCGCTCGCTTGTCTAATCTCTCTCCCCCCCTCCCCCCCAAGTTCAAGTTTCCGCTTTCTGGCTAGACTGTGCAACTGTGGAATGAACAGAGCCGGCACGCTGCAGAGTCGGGGGCACGGGAGGGGAACTGAAAGGAAAGCGGAGGGTTAGACAGGCAGGAAGGGAAGTTCCAGGTGGAGGCTTTGAAACAAAACTGGCTCCAAAGTCAATCCAACCTCAGGGCTGGGAGGGACCAAACTTTCTTCCCAGCTCCCGGGTGAAAGGAATTGGCAATCCAATTCCTAATGGCGGAGAAGCCGCCTCTCAACAAGCAGCCCTGTAAGGCTGTTTGATCACTGCCGCCTCAGAGCTCAGCGGTCACCAAGAGACGAAGCCCAGCGGCGGCCCTGGCCCAGCGGGGGTGGTGACGGGAGGAGGGCATTGAAGAACCACCAAGCAGGGCTGCCCTCCTAAGGAGCTTCCCAATGGGGAGAGGTTAGTTCTAGAAACAGGACGTTAGAAATCAGAAAGTCCCTTTTTCAGAAAACCTGAAACATTCCCTGGCCCCTGCCCGGGACCAGCTGTGCTAACGCAACGGGGCTGCTTTTGCCAGCCGTCGCTCCAGGAGGGGTTCGCCCGCACTGAACGTGGGGTAGGGAAAGGCTCTTTGCCAGCTGCTCATTAAGTCAATTAGCTGCTGGCAACCGAGTGAGGGCCTAGGCAGAAGAGGAAACTAACGTCGGTTGCCAAGCCCTGTGTGAAGGCCTGTCCAGTCTTGTTCTCCTTTAAAGTGCCCTATATTTATAGAATTTCTAAATAAATAGAAGAAGATATTAGATACCCATAGTTTAAGCTACTCCGAGTAACAGCCGTCTAAGCCGATAGCATTGTGCCGGTCCTTGGTGTAGGGGCACGTGCTGCCGTTGGGCAGGGCCCCACAGGCCGCTGTTTTGGCCGCAATGCCGCAGTTCTTGAGGAGGTTGAAGCTGAAAGGGCTGATGGCGTCTTTAGGTGGAAAAGGCTTCATGGTGGAGAGGATAAGTGCCAGGCAGTCTGCAACGTCCTTGTTGGGGGCGCAAGCCAAGGCTGGGGTGTGACCTGGAACGAAGCCACGAGGCGGCGCTAGTGAAGCCGTCAAGCCGGCTGCACGCGTCAAAGGGGCCCTGGGACATTGTCGCATTAAGCAGCAGGACAAGGCTCGCTGCTCCCCCCCCACCCCACCCCCACCGCAGCGCGGAGGGGAAATATTGTCCAGCGATAGGGCATTTGCCTGGGACTTGGGAGTGGGGGGGATCCCGGCCCGGCCTCACAGGAGAGCACTCAGAGAAAGGCATTAAAAACTCTGGGGCACTCAGTTACCACGGCGACAGGGCCCACGACATGCAGGTAAACGGACAGCGCCTGAACCTGGAGCATTGCATGGGCAGCCCCTTTTTACTCTCCCCATCCCAGACTAGGCAACCGGGCCCAGTGCAGGAGTCTAACTGGAGCCTGCTGGTTTAGAAAAGGGGTGTTCGCTCACTCGGTTTCACTCCCTCCCCTTGGCAGGAGTCTTCAGACCTTGTGCAAAACCCGTCAACTATTTTCCTGGGCTGCTCTGGGCAGGGCCGCAGCAGGGTTAGTCATTTGTGGTCTCGGAGAAAGGCAACTGCTCAACAGGTTTTTTTATTGTGTTTTCAACGTGTCCAGAACCGTGGATTCAATTTTTTCAACCAGGCCAATTTTTATTCCCTGAACAGAGAAGCCAGGACTGGAGCGTGGGGCTTTATTTGAACACTGGGATCCCAGAAATTCACACGTTATTGCTTTGCGGCTCTGGCTGTTCTTGAAGCTTTTAGCAGTTGCTAGAACCAGGCCAGAATTTACGTGGGGGAAAAAAACAAAAGCAACTGGGTCCTATTTGGCAGGCCCAGAAACCCTTCCTCTGGTAGCGGGAAGGATGCGCTGCGAACACTTTCAGGATCAGACTTATCCAAGCAGAGAGAAAACCCACCGATCCCCCAATACGCAGATTCTACAGAACATGCGAATGAGGAAATAGCTTCTTTATCCTTATCCCAGCTCTGAGCTTTCATGCCTGGCCCCAGCTGGCCAGGTGACCCAGAGGATGACACATGGGGCGAAAGCCACATTAATAACACCTGCTGCCCCACTGGGATGTGGAGCTTGGACGTGTCTTTGCCAGGCTACGGGGATCACGGCATTACCACCACAAGGGCTGCTCCCGCGTCGCCGACAGCAAACTCAGTACGAGAGCAGAACAATGTTCAGTATGGGGGTGAGGAAATAATCCAAGGTCCAGGTGCCTATCTGAGAACCCCAACCAGCCACCCCTGCCCAAAAAGATGCCACGTAGAGACTACGTTGTACCTGACCCCGCCCATCCGCCAGAGATCCCAGCTGTGAGGCATACGCACCTTCTTCATCCACAGCAAGTACAGTGGCGCCTCTGCTGAGCAAGGCCTGGACAACAGAGGCCAGCCCGTTCCGAGCTGCAATATGGAGCGGCCTGCAGGCAACAGGGAAAGGGAACGCATTACTGAACCTGCCAGGGCAGACAACTCTGCTGCCTTTTCCATCTGGAGCAGTCTCCCCGACGCACTTCCAATTCAGCGCAACCCTCATCAGCGGCACGCGGCTTCCTCTCCGCACTGGCGCACCCAGTGAGAGCTTTCTGATCGGCTGGGGAGAAGGTGAACTAGCTCTGGACTGGAGAGCAACACAAACTCAACACACAGAAGGGCCCACCACTGAAGCTAGGACCTAGGGAAGGCTGACCCACGGGAGGATGCAGGGAGACAAAGGCACTCTGCAGAAATGTGGCCCATGGAGATTCGAAGTCCCAGCAGGCAACGCTCTGACCTTGCTGAGAGCAGTCCAGGCACAGCGCATGCTGGGAATGGTCTTGGCGGGTCACACCTCCGTATGAAAGAGGCAGGTGGCTGTGATTTGTGCAACTCAGTGAAAGCCCTTGGACAGTTTCAAGACCGAGCAGCAGCTTACGGCCTAATCTCCCTCCCTTGAACTACCAGGACGCGAGAGGTTATTGCAAAGGACTGCAGGCTATGCAGACTGACAAACCCTAGGATATTCTCCAGGGCTAAGAGGGGGGAAAACATCCAGATCACAAAGGGCTCTTTACTGTGTGTGAATGTGTGATTCTTCCCCCTAGAACTGCGGCCCAGGGACTGCCCCTCCTCCTGGGCTCACCCACAACCTCCTGGCTTCCCCTTTCCCTCACGCCTCCAAACCCTTACAGCCACCTGGCCAAAACAAAATCAAATCAAACCAAAACCCCCAACAGCCTTTCCCCCATTCATACCAGCTGGTCACATACTCACATCTGCAGAGCACTGTTAGTTGCATTGATAAGGCCAAGGTCTTGGGTTTCCCCCAGAATCAACAAGGCACACTTTTCATGACCCTGGAAATAAAACCGAACAGTTTAAAATTAAGGCGCACAAGGTGGGGAGGGAGAACCCAGGTGTCTCTGCAAATGGCGTTCTCACACCGCTCGTGCTTTGCAGAGGAACGGCCCTGTTTCAATACGCTTCCATGCTGACCCATGTTTGCACGGGGAAATGCACAGACTAGCGGGCTTTCCAATCTCTAGTTTGGGACTCTGTTCTCTACTCCCTCCTCCTACCCAATTTCTCTGTTCAGGGGTCTGAAAATAACCCCCGTTCTGTGTTACAAACTGTTCCCCTTTTTCGGTTTGTTTGTGTTCGACACACAGATTTGGAAGCTCCCGTCCCCACCAGGTTTCAAATCCAGCTGATAGAGCTCTCGAACTCCCGCTTCGCTCATGCGCCAGTATCACCCCAGTGGGAAGGACACCAAAGCCCATCCAGGATGGGGTTGAACAGAACAATAAAGAACATCTGGGGCCCTAGCCACTTCTTTGCTGACTCCACACATTCCCCCCTCCACGTAGGCACGTGTGATCCCTGTTTTAAAGCTAAGGAGATTGAGGCAGAGAGGGTAAGGCCGGGCACCCACGTCTCTTTAAAATTCCATGCAATTTGGGCACCTAACTCCTTCAGCTCCTCTGAAAATCCAGGCTGAAATGACCTGTCCAAGGTTTCCCAGGCTCAGAGCCAGAGCGACAACTCAGGTGGGTTCCGCCTCGCAGTCTGGTACTCAGTTTCCCTAGACTCTGGCTCTCTCCCGCAGATCAAGGCAGACTTTGGCCCAACTGCGCACGTACATCTGATTTTAAATTGATTTAGTTAAACTGGTGCCATTCAAGACTGGGTGGATGCTTATTTCCGTTTAAGCTGGGTTTAGGGCTTGTCTACACATGAAATTTATTCTGGAATAAGGTACGGTGTGAATTTAAAGCAGATTAACCATTCCTGATTATCTGGATGTGTGGATGCTCTTATTCTGAAATAAAGTGCCTTATTCCAAATTAGCTTAATCCACTACCAAAGTGGATTAAACCTTATTTGTAATAAGGTACATTCATTCCAGAATAAGAGCGTCCCCACAAGGAGTTAATCAGGAATAACTCTCCTGTAGACAAACCTTTATTTCCATTTAGGTTAAGTTGATTAAAAACAGATTTAAGATCAACCAAAATAAGCCACTGACATTCACACAAGAGTGTCCACACTGGCTTAATTCAACCTGTGCAAATGCCTGTGTAGACAAGGCCTGGGGGTGCAATCTCTTCTCGCCAGCAGGGCACAGATAAGCACGCTCTGACGTTTTGAGGCTCACGGACTGAAGGTCTTGGTGATCGTGACTGTTTAAGAGAAGGGTCAATCCCATACCTTGCTGCAGGCCAGGTGAAGAGCCGTGTTCTTGTTGACGTCCAGCACAGTTAAATCTGCTTTCGCTCTATACAGCAGGAACTCTACAAGCAAGAGAGGCAAATGGCATCAGGCCCACGCAGCCCGGACTCCCTTAGCTCAGGGATACGGCAGCAGGAACAGCATGTCCGCGAGCTGCGGAACGGCACAGTACCCGACTGGGTGTGTGTGAATGCTCAGAACACTGCGCGTTTCTGGTTACGACACCCCAGCCTGCAACTGAGCAACTGGCAGCCCAGAGCCTCCCACCCGACTGTCAATTCCATCCCGTCACCACGGCCCAGCCTTGGATCTTACGATTCTCTCAGAATTAAACGTTATTCTGAGTGGGGGGGGGGGGGGGGGAAAGGATCTACCGGGGTGAACAAAAGGGAGGAGGCAGACGCAGGCCAAGTAAGCAAGCACTGGGTTGCTACGCACCGACTGCTGCGGTCTGCCCGTTCTCAGCAGCCATCATGAGAGGGGTCCTTCCCAACTGGTCAGTCGTGTCTACCTCAGCCTGGTGACGCAGCAGCAGCTGTAAACCGTGGATGTTGTCTGCAAAGGCAGCAGCGTGAAGGGGTGTCCTGGAAGGAGAGGGGAGGGCGTGAGGGGAGACCCCACCACATCCGCACTAGCAAAACTCTACCGGCCTCCATGGGGACACTCCAACTAAAGAAGCCTGGCTGAGGACCCCAGTCAGATACATCACCCCAGTGATGGTCAACATTGGTGCCTTTCATTCCCAAGGACCCAGAAACACATCAAAAACCTAAGCCCTAGTACTGAATGGTGATCAATTGCTCTCCATGACCACCCAGCGAAGGACAAGGAGGGTTTGTCTTAATTTCCAGGAGTCTCCCGCTGACTCGATGGTGCAGCCACAGCGTGGGGGGGGGGGGGAGAGAGAGACACACAGCAGGAGTGGGGGACACAGCAGGAAGGGGGGGGACACAGCAGGTGTGCACTGCCACTCTGTGACCATTTAGGACAGGAAGTAAAACTAAACGCTGTATGCAGCTGAGATCTCAGGGAATTAGATGTAGTTACCCAAGATGGAATTTGGGGCAAGTCTGACCCATACAGAATGCCAGGGGACCCCCTCCTCTGATCACCCCAAGCTGCCAGGACCTTACTTTCACATCTGCTGTGACCAACAGCACCGGCAGCAGCACAGCGCCCCGGCACTACATCGGGGTCAGGAGTAACTCGGAGGGCAGAGCGTCGGCACCACTTTGTGGGTGCCCCTGGGAGGTTTCCCAGTACGCACTTGGCTCGGCTAGTGAGACCCAATGGGATCAGAGCACAAAAGCAATCGAGTGGGAGCCTACGTCGGCCTTTGGCATCCCCCAGGCTCCACTGAATGCCGGGAGAGACGAGGCACGAGATTAAAAGACGCTGCTCACCTTCCTTTGGCATCTCTGCTATTAACAATCTTGGCACCCAATGCTTCCACCAGCATTTCAGCAGTGCCTTCCTGGCTGTTAATTCTGCAGGGGCGACAAGAAGGAAAATGAAAACCAAGGCTGGGCCGAGCTGTCAACCCGCCAGGCAATGGCTTAGCTCACTCCTTTGCTGCCCCGGGCCAAAGAGCCGCAGGCAGGGGAAGGAAGATCACATGCCGTGGTGCAGCACTCCCCGCTGGCCAGCTGAATGGGCTCCGGGGTGATTGCCTGCTTAGTCCAGCTGGCTATGAAGTGAATCAATCTCTGAACCACCCCCATGCTGAGGGCAGGACCCCGGCTGCCTGGCTCCAATGCACCCTCTAGTGGTTCGCACTGAGCACACAGCCCCAGAGTCCGGTTACTGGATTCTGAGGCCAAGCCAGAATGGAGGGCATGGGAGAACTGTCAATCTCTGCAGCCCCATGGGATAACAAGGAGCTGGAGCCCAGCCTGTCACTCCGAGAGCACACGTCCGTTCCTGCCCTGCCGTGCGCGCGCTCTCGCACTGTTCCAAACCAGGATGCAGAAGAAGCCGGCTCCGGGTTGGTGGCTACTTACACTGCACAGTGCAATGGAGTAAAGGGGTTTCCTTCTAGGTACACAAATGGATTGTGTTCAAGTAACAATTCAAGACAATCTTCATGTCCTGCAAAGAGGGAGAAAGGACGGGGAGCTGTGAGCTGAGCAGTATCCTGGCAATCACCTCTCACCCCTGGGAGACTGACACCGGGGTGGGTGGGGGGAGGAGACTTGAATGGAACAAACACCCCCCACCAGCCCTTAGCTCCTTCCAAGGCCCAGGGAAGCCATCAGAGGGCGAAGCAGGAAGAAGTTTCCTGCAGTCTCCCGTGGCGTGAGATCAAGCCGGCCCGGTGCATTATTTAAAGGAGGGGAAGGCAAGCGAGCGCCATTCGTCTGAAACGTGAAGTCTTGGCAGCGGGATACCCGACTGGACACAAACCGCCTGGTGCAGTGTGACAAGGAGACAATGTCAGCTCTGCTAGCAGGGCAAACCCTGGGCTTCTCCTCTCGGCCAGAGAGAGATCAGTCCCCTTTCTTGTCTAACGGTAAAACCCTGAAGCATTTTCAGACATTTCGAAGACCTGGTCTACACTAGGTCAACCCCGCTATGTTGCTGCGGAGCATGAGAAATTCACACCCCTGAGCAATGTAGGTCAGCCGACCTGGCCCCGGTGTAGACAGCCCAGTGTCTTCCATCGGCCTCGCTACCGCCTATCGGGGAGGTGGGTTGACTACCCTCCTGGGGGCGTAGGTAGGGTCTACACCGACGTGCTACCACGGTGGTACTGTAGCATTTCAAGTGTAGACAAGCCCTAATTCTGCCCCAGTCGTTGGCCTCTTGGCTGAGTTTGCCAACACACAGGGGGCGGGGGACTCCACAAGGGGGTGGCCTGTGTGTCGCGGATACATGGCCGCCGACATCCAGGGTTTCATTTCAAATCCCGAACAGCCAGATGGCAACGACAGTCTGTCACTCCCAGCCCAGAGGGGGGAGGCTCTGTGAACCTCAGCGTCTTATTTACGGTAGGGCCCCCAGACCACCACAGCGTTCTCCGCACGGCCTCGTTAGTGCTGAGCGAGGAAGGGCTGTTTTAGCCGAGCTCTCTCTTGGTCTGCAATGGGTGTAAGGCAGAGAGGGTGGAGGGGCGTCATGGCTCTTACCACTGTACGAAGCCCAGTGCATCGGTGAGTAGCCGCTGTAATCGACCACGGAGTCCAGAGGGTCAGTAGAGATCGCTGCCTGCAGCAAGGTCCTCAGGATTTCTGAATGCCCACACGCCGACGCAAAATGGATCGGGGTTCGACCCTTGAAATCCCGACACAATACAAAGGCATCGTGGTCCAGCAGGGCTCCCAGGCAGTCCTCACACCCCGTCACCGCCTGTGCCGGGTAAAGAACAGCCAGGGCTGTGAAGTGGTGCCTCCAGCCCAGCGGGAAACCGCTCCACACGCCAAGCGCAGGCAGGGTTACAGCCAACGTGGCTGGATTTGCACAGGAACAGCAAAAGGCACCGCGCGGAATTTCAACTCCCGGCTCCACTGCTGGGGGGCGCTAGAGTTGCTACAAGGAAAAGGTTGCTGGGATTTTTTAAAATTTTGTCCCTTTGCCTCATTCTTAGAGGCAGCTGAACTGTTTTGGCTAAAGTTTGCCCCAAAGAGTCAGCCTGAGGCAGACGCCTGGCACGCGAAATTTCAGCCCAAATGGTCCAAGCTGGGCAATGTTATAAGTAACTGAAAACAGGGTCTTATAATGGAGAGTGTTGGTGCTACCAACCCTTCCTAGAACAAAGCGACCTGCAGGAAACCCAGTGAGAGAAATCCCCGACCCCGCACCGAGCTCCGTCACGCTCACTCACCCCTCGATGCAGCGCAGTCCTGCCTCTCCTGTCCGCTGCATCTGCTGTGGATCCCTTCTCCAGCAAGAGATGGACGCAGTCGACGTGGCCGTTCATGATCGCCAGCATCAGTGGGGTTCTGCGGGGCGATTGGGGGAGCACAGGAGAAGGATGTTGGCTTGGGAAGGGCAGTGAACATTTGCAAGTTTCAATCCCTATTTTACAGGTCTCCTGGGATCTACCCCAGCTCTGGGAGGTCAGTGCTGTCTAGGGGTGAGAGCGCAGGGGAGCTGGGAGTCAGGACTCCTGGGTTCTACCCAGCTCTGGGAGGGGAGT